AAAGCAGTGGATGCCATGAGGAAGCTGAAGCTATGAGAGAGCAGGATGCTGGTGATGTATGGAATCCGGAATGAGGCAACTGGGACACCTGGGTGGCTCAGCCCATTAGGCGTCTGCCTTCTTCGGCTCAGGTTCTGATCCCAGGGTCCTAAGATTGAGCCCCGAGTTGGGCTCCTTGCTCCATGAGGAGCCTACTTCTCCTCTTCCCCTCCTGCTCCCCCTGCTTGTACTTTCTCTCGCTCTGTCAAATAAATAAAATCTTTAAAAAAAAAAAAAAAAAGGAGTGAGGCAACTGGTTGGTAGAAGCAGAAGAAATCTTAGCAGAGACATGGAGTAGTGTCTCAGTAGTACTTCAGCATCAGATGAGGGGGAAGGAAGCAACACACATCTGCTGCTGAGATTAATCAAGCGGCTTTCTAGTTTCCAAACTGCATCCTAGGCTCTGTGAAGCCAAGCTTTTCCTGTATTCCCACAGTGCTTGGCCTTCTGGCTGAAATTCCTTAGTCTCTTATTTTCACAAAGCCCTACTGCTTGAGGTAGCTACAAGAATCTAACTAGTACACCATGTAAAGGAGTTTGGAATTTAATCTGGAAACATTAGAAAATCATAAAAGGGCTTCATATTTCCATTTTAGAAAGAGGACTCTGGGACTAGAGTGAAAATAAATTAAAAATGGACTAGAGGTAGGGATTGTACATTGGAAACCAGTGAGGGGCGCCCAGGTGGCTCAGTCAATTAAGCGTCCCACTCTTGGTTTTGACTCAGGTTATGATCTTAGGGTTGTGAGACTGAGCCCTGATTTGGGCTTTGCACCCAGGTGAGATTCTACTTGAGATTCTTTCCCCCTTCCTCTCCTTCCCCACTCTGCCCCTCCCCCCACTCGCACGCATGCGTGCTCTCTTTCCCTCTCTAAAAAAATAAATAAAATATTTAAACCGGTGAGAGATGATGATTGCCTGAGAATGGAGAAAATGGATAAATTGAAAGTTACAAAGGGGGATGAACAAACAGAATTTGATTCAGCTTAGATGCAGGAGATGAGGGAGCGGAAAGAGTCAAGTTTGATTCTTAGTTTCCTGATCTGGGAAACCAGATGGGAACTCGATGGATAGTGGCAACCAATTTCTTTCACTGAGAAAGATAATGTATGAAGAGGACCAACTCCTTTCTGGGGAGGAATGTAGGTGCCAATGAGACTTCCAGGCAAGAATGTCTAATAAGCAGTGGGATATTCATGTCTGGATCTCACACTCTGGAGTTACAGGTTTGTGTATAAGGGCTTGATATCATGATTTTCAGAGATATTCCAGTAACTTTCTTGTTTTATTCCCATAGCACTAAATTCAGGAATGTACTTGGGCATAAGACTAGAGAAGCTAAGAATAAAGGGTTATTTCATGTTTGAATATTCTTTGTAGTGTACCTTAGCTATGATGTTGTATATTACATAACTCTTGTGGTTGATGAGCTACCTTGAGATTGATGAATTACCTTGCCCAAGTGAGATGGTCTCTAGAGAACACTGTGTATGGGAACAGTCTAGCTTTACATGTATAAGGGTAGGACCAGAAGGGGAAGTGAAGTTTCTAGAAGGTCTGATGTTATGTATTCCAGAAAGTCTGAATATTCGGAAGGTTTAGAAGCTTGCATTTTAATCTCTTAGCTGATATTGCAACCACATTCCTGTTGTAGTATTCCTGTTAATCTGGACATTCTATTGCTATTTGTCAATATGCAAGTTATACAGGGTATTATCAATAGGTTGGTAGTAATTGAAACCAACAGTGTGCCTACTAAGATCACTCCATGAGAATAAATTAAGAAGAAAAGAGAACAAAAAATACAATTTGGGGAAATACTAATCTCTAAGGAGTAGGTAGAAGAGAGAGAAGTCCAAGAGGAGAGTAAGTGACTGATGGTGAAATCTGAGGGATTGAACAATTAGAAAGACAAATTGAGTCATATTTGGATTTCACCATTAACTGAGACAGATATTTCAGAATGACATTAGACAAGTTTTCTTGTTACACATGAATACATGCTTATTATTTATTTAAAATACATTTTCTAAAAGATTTACAACAAAGGCTCAGAAAAAGACCCGGGTTTCCTAGTTTTCACTAGAATGTTAAAACTTGTTGATAATTAAGTCTATTTAGAATTTAATAAAAGATAGTGTGAGTAATGATCACTGAAGAGCTACCTATTATATATATATAAATATAAAAGATTATCTATCTATCTATCTATTTATAAAAGATCGACTTACTAGGTGGCTCCATGGCTCAATGGATAGCTCATTGGACTTACAAAACATTGGCTTGCTACTTAATGTGTGCGAGGCATTGTGCACTACCTGCAACATCTCATTTATACATTTATACATTAGAAATATCATATGAGGAAGGCACTTGGATTTCCTTCTTTTAAAAATATGGAAACTGGGGCACCTGGCTGGCTCAGTCAGTCAAGTGTCGGACTCTTGATTTCAGCTCAGGTCATGATCTCAGGGCTGTGAGATCGAGAGCCACATTGTCAGGCTGAGCAAGGCAGTCTGCTTGAGATTCTCTCTCTCCTTTTCCCTCTGCTCCTCCCCCCCTACTTTCTTTCTCTCTTTCTTTTTCTCTCTCAAATAAATAAATCTTTAAAAAAAATAAAGATGTGGAAACTGAAGATTAAAGAAATTCATTTTCTAGAGTCACCCAAGTAGTAACTAACAGGGCTGACATTCAAATTTCAAGGTTTTGACTTCAGAGCCTGAAGTCTAACTACTACCTGATAAGACTATGAAAGCATTACTCAAGGTAATAAAAGGTTAAATTTAGCAGGCATTTATTAATATAATTTTCAATGAAGACAGATTATGTAGCTACAGAAGACCATTTCACACTTATACCAACATTTCTAGGTATACCACAAAATTTTGAAAGTACTTCCTGAGAGACTTGGGTACATCAATATGTATTTGAATAATTTGTTTTTGCTACTAAAAGAGAAATGATTCTGTTTTTCAGAATGCTAACTCCTGTGTTTAGCTGATTTCTTAACTTGTAGAATCAAAAATAATTTTTACCCCTGCTAACTTTGGTTTTGGCATAAAGCCATGCACTGTTTCTGTGGCAGTACAATTTCCCTGGGCATATGTATATAGAAAACTATTTGTTTTTGTTTTTTAAAAAGAAATTTACAGAATGCTGGTTATAGATAATTGCACACCTTAAGAAAATTTTGGCTTTTCAAATCACTATCAGTATTATTTTTAATTAATGAATTCCAATTGCATTCTCTCAACTATACATAACAGAGATATAAAGGACTCTAAGAATGATGATTTTGAATCAATCATGCCAAAATTACTACTAATAAAAAAATTAAATTTCAAAAGAAAAATTGGTCACATAGGGAAAAGCACTTGGTGGAAGCTTGATGGTATATTATGAGCCAATTTAATATTAGAGGATCATTTTTTTTTTGAGGTGGGTGGGGGGAAGGGATAATTGGGTGACAGACATTAAGGAGGGCACTTGACATAACGAGCACTGGGTGTTATATGCAAATGGTGAATCACTAAATTCTACCCCTGAAACTAATAATACAGTATATGTTAACTAAATTGAATTTAAATAATTAAAAAAAGAGCATCATTTTTAAAAGCTCCCTACGACCTCAAGAATAATGTCTGCCACATATTCTACCTAAGCTTTTTTTTTCCCTCTATACTCACAGCTCTTAATACATAAAGCTTATACTATAGGAGCGGTCAAACTTCCCAAAGATGTCACAAATGATCCAAACTACTGTTCTGAGAGCTCATTAACATCACCTGCTACCTTCATCCATCTTTGCTTTACATCTTGTCAGATGGAAAAAAAAATTTAGTTTACAAAGTACTTGTTGTGCAAGGTCTTATTTCACAGCCAAACCTTGTTGTCCACTGACAATCTCACAGTCCACTGTCCTCCATCCTGCAAAGATGTCATCAGCTCAGTTGTCTGGAGGTGTTCATTTCTTCATCTCCTACCTCTACCCTGGTTCAGGCCTTCCCTCTACCTTTCTCTGCTTCCTACTCAGTAGCTGCAAGATGTCTTGGGCCACAGCACACTGACTGGGTCTTCGAGAACCACAGATGATTTTTCTGTTTACTTTTGCTTCATATATAATTGCCTCCTAATGAAGGCTTTTATAGCGGTTTCTTATTTGAGCATCAAAACTGTTTTTAGTAGGGTATTCATTCATTCAAATATTTACTGATCATCTGCAATGTGCCAAACACTGTTCTAAGTGCTGGAGATACATGAGGGAACAAAACAGAGCTTAAAAAAAAAAAAAATCCCAATGTTTCTGAAACTCATTTAGCGGGGAGACTCACTTTAGCGGTAAAAGGGGCAGCAGGGCAGATCGCGCAGCGCCTGGCAGGTAAAAGGAGGAATTCTGACTTTTACATTGGGCGAAATGGAAAGACAGTGGAGGGTTTGGTACAAACAAAATTTTACAGATCAGGGAAATAAATGACTACACCGCAGTAAGCACCTGTATACTTCGTACAACCTGTGGAGGAACTGCAATTTAGGTACTTAGGAGGGAAAAAATTAACAGGAGGTAGGCATTGACTTGGGGCTATTAGCCCAGAGATTCGAGGGGGCAGAAATGAAGAGGGACAAGACAGATGAAGATTAAGCCAAAAGGAAGCAAATTGTTTACACCGAAATACAATTTATTTCAAACATACGGCAAGAGATAGGCCAAGAGATACGTGGCTCCGTTCAGACAGCAGTCACCCTAAAAAAAAAAGCAAATTTAGGTTAGGCAAACAGTGGCCCAAGTAGAGCTGCGGACAGCGGCTCGTCACCGAACCGGGCATGCCCCGAAGGTGACCACGCCCCCGGCCCCGCCCCTCCTGCGGCTCACCGCCCCAGTTGGCCACGGCGGGGGCGGTGGCCCCGGTGCCCGGAAGTGCGGCTGACGTGTCCCGGCCGCGCTCGGAATTGTGGGCGACTCGGCTAATGGCGTCGGCGAGTTTGGAGGGCTTGGGGAGCCAGCGCTGAAGCTTTTTGCCAGGTTGGCTGGTGACGAACTGTGTGGCCGGATCCCGCGGCAGCGGGAGGGACCTGCCCACCTTGTGGGCTCCTCGGCCAGAACCGGCGGAGCCTAGCGGGGCGGGGCGACTGCGGGGGGCGCCTCGGATAGGAGCCGCGAGAGTTGCGAGAAGGCTGCGGGGGGCGCTCGGGTACGCTCGGGGTTCGCAGCCCAGGCCGGGCCGAGCCCCGCGGAGCCCAGGAGGCGGGCAGCGGAAGGGCCAGAGACGCCAGGAGGGAACTGCCTGTCGCCCCAAGGTGCTGACAGTGCTGGAGTTCGTTTGCGCCGCTCAGATACTGGATTGTAGTTTGGTGGATCATGTCCGGCACCAACAGCCCCGAGGCGGTGAAGAAGCTGCTGGAGAATATGCAGAGCGATTTACGGGCCTTGTCCCTGGAATGCAAAAAGAAATTCCCACCTGTCAAAGAGGTAAGCTTTGGGCAATGTCGGGAGAAGGCACGGTGAGCATGTCTGGTCCTGTTAGACCCAGTCCGTCACTTCCAAACTCCTGTCCTATCTAATTTTCATTTGGCCCACACCTTTCCAGATTTACGAGTCGGTGGGTTGTACCATAAGCGCGTTTTATAGTTTCCTTTGAAGACGACTGGGACGCTTTGATTTTGTCTACTCCTGTTCTCAGCATTTAGGAATGAACTTCGCGGAGTGAGCCGATTCAGCTAATTCAGCTGGTATCTTATCCTCGCCTTTTCTGGCCTTTTTCAAACTTGAAACTAGCCAAGCCAGAATTGAAAAACACGTTTGTTGCTTCTAAAAACTATTATCCATCGTTGTGGTAAAATCTCTGCTCCTCACGTTTATAGTATGTATCACTCAGTGGGAAGTAGTTTTCTTCTTGTCTTGTGTCATGCAGATTAACTCTATGTCAGTACTATGAAGTGTTAGTAAATTATGCATTCACCTAACTTATGACAAATATTGAGGACCCACAATAATCATGTTAAGCCTTGTTATCAGCAATAATGTAATGGGACGTTTGGGTTTAGAATTAAATTCAATACACCTTGGAATACATCAATACATATTAACCTCTTCAAGCTTCAGCTTTCTTTCATATGTAAATAGGGCTAAAGGGTGGATTTATTAGATTATGAGGGGAAATTGTCAGAGCAAAAAGGGTATTATTAAAGAGGCTTCAATTAATAATAAATATAAATTCTCTAAATATTTCCTAAATTGAAATTTTTAATTTAGTCACTATTGACCTTTTCTCTTAAGATGTCATTTTATTTTTCTTAAGCTTTTAAAAATAGTATCTCATTTTCCTTTCTCATACCTGAAATAAGACATTTCAGTGATATTTTTGTAAAAGCAATTATTTTTATTCCTATTTAATGTAGTTTGGTGTACCAGCAATTTCATTTACTATTTAGGGTTCACCAAAAGTTCACTAAGGAATTTTGGAATGTTTTTGTGTTAATTTAAATGTTTTGCCTTTATTATTACAAAGATCTTACAATTAAAACTTACCCAATAAAGTTTGGATTTTAGGCTTCCAAGGAACCTTAACTTTTCTGTAAGTGCTTTTGGTCTCATCGGTCTTCAACAAACTCCATCTAGTGTTTCTTTAATAAAGTAAGCAAATATTACCCAATAGTAGAAACCTGATGTGCCACCCTTGGAAAGAGGACTATCATAATATGTTTTATTTCAGATACTCAATAGCTTGTGATACAGATTTTCATTATTTTCTCTATATCCTGTTGAAAGTTTTAATAAGTAATTCTAAAGAATTAAACATTTTAAAAGAATTTTAAAGAAGCAGGCTGTTCCAATTTTAAGAGAAATGCTCGTTTATAAAATGTCAAATCCATTTTTTAATTTTAACAATAATTTATAGAACTGACTGTTCCCAGCTCTTATAATTTATATAGACAGGGATTTCTCTATATTACACATAAAGGCCTTTGTGGGCTTGCTTGAGAATTTAATTGCCATTTATTACTTTATTTCTTTTGGAAAATGCATTCAGAATTCCAAATAGGTAACTTACAAAGTTTTTTTTTTTTTTTGAGGTTTTATTTATTTATTTGATAGAGAGGGAGAGAGATTGAGAGCACAAGCAGGGGGAGCCGCAGGCAGAGCAGGCAGAGAGAGAAGCAGGCTTCCCGCTGAGCAGGGAGCCCGATGCGGGACTCGATCACAGGACCCTGCGATCATGACCTGAGCCAAAGGCAGACGCTTAGCCGACTGAGCCACCCAGGCGTCCCATAACTTGTTCTAGAACTCAATCCATCTTATCTAGGAACGTTCAATAAACCTCATTAGCTTTTTTACTTGAACATAGGCCAAAGAGATACTTAGTGATTGCACCTACTCTCTGAGGTAATGACAAAAATAATTCTTGGCATGATAATCTCTGATACATAATTTCCTATATAATACCTACTCCACAAGAATTTGTCGAATGTAAGAACTTTGACTCCTTAACCAGTGGCACTTCTAATATACTTATGGGCCCACTTTAGTTATTGGAAAATGACTGTGTCACAAGTTTAAAACAAGAATGAATAATTAGTCTAAGAATGATGATTCTTTAGGAGGGACCCTTGATTTTCAAGAAATATTTTGGTTGAATTAAATTTTTCCTGGTAAATTAATAGCAGTGCCAAATTTTGGCTTTTGTTCTTTAAGGAACTGGTATGTTTTTGTTTTATTTATTTTGGGGATGGGGAGAGGATGGTGCTTGGTATACCTTAAGGCAAAGCCTTTCTCAGTGTAAGAACCTTTTCCATCTGTGTACTGGTTTGCTAGTTAACACTCTCCCAGTATCTTCACAGTTATTACTTGAAAAATACTTATTCTGAACTACTTACAAAGGTACTCAAGAACTCAAAGCAATACAGTGCTTTGGAAGGGATGTCTCCTTCCCCAATACCTTTTATTTATTTTTTATTTTTTATTTTTTTTAAAGATTTTATTTATTTATTTGAGAGAGAGAGAATGAGAGATAGAGAGCACGAGAGGGAGGAGGGTCAGAGGGAGAAGCAGACTCCCTGCTGAGCAGGGAGCCCGATGTGGGACTTGATCCCGGGACTCCAGGATCATGACCTGAGCTGAGGGCAGTCGCTTAACCAACTGAGCCACCCAGGCGCCCCTCCCCAATACCTTTTAAACAAGGTAGAATGAAGTGATACCTTTTATATTTAGTCTTTAAGTTTCTAGTAATTTCTACTTTTTTGATCATGGTGCTTATTACAGAAGAAAAGAGTATTGGTAAAGGATAGTGCCTTATTTTTTGCTGTTTACTTCTTATCTTTGGATTTTCTGCATGGCTTTCTCCATCTTAATTGTTTCCATTTATAAATGTTCCTTTGCATATTAAATTGTTTTAATAGTGGCTATAATTTCATTGTCATTTTATAATAAAAGTAGTAATTCAATAACAGCAATACATTCCTTCTCCTTGTATTACCGCTTATTTTTACAGCAGTGTAACTTTTTAGCACAAGTGTGCTAGCTAATTTGTTCTGGAATATTTGTATGAAAAATGTTTTCTTTGCTTTAAAAATTACTTTAAAGCTTTGCAAAATCATTTCTGTATAATTGAAGTTCAGTGCCTTCAGAGGCAGTAATCTCTGAAGCTTTATGTTTATGTATTTAATGAATAAAACATTTAGGTCATTTTCTGTTTGCAGGCATTACTCTGGAAACGAATGAGGGGGATCTAACTGAGATTGGAAGTAAGCTCAGAGAGAATTTGTAATTCTTGAATTGAGCCTTAATAGGATGAGTAGAAGCTAGCCAACAGAAGAAGGGGAGGGGGGGTCATACCAGGCAGAGGAAATAGCATATGTTTATATACCATGTCAAATAAATTTCATGCTGGAGGTTATTGGGAGCCATTAAAGTTTTTTAAGAGAGCGAATAATATAAATTCATATTTTGTAACATTTTCTTTTTTTTTTTAAGAGTTTATTTATTTGAGAGAGAGGGAGAGAGAGAGAGAGCACAAGCAGGTGGAGTCGGAGAAGCAGGCTCCCTGCTGAGCAGGGAGCCTGACAGTGGGGCTTGATCCCAGGACCCCGGGACCGTGACTTGACTGAGCCACCCAGGCACCCCTTAGTAACATTTTCATAACAGTATTGGTGGGAAGAATTAGAGGAGACTGAGATTGAGGCAAAGAGAGCAAATTTAAAAAATGATGATTGCCTGCATGAAGGTAGCAGTAGAGGAAGACAGGAGGTTGCTTGCATTGTGCTGGGCATGTGTGAAAGAGAGAGCATGGATTGAAAAGAGACTTAACAGGTAAAATTACCAGGGCATGGTGACCTTCTATATAACATAGAGAAATTTATGGTGCCTCCCAGGTTCTGGCTTGGAAAACTGGGTAGATCACTAAGAGAAGGAATATAAGAGGAGGCAATGTTTTTGGGTAAAGTGAATAGTCCTGAATATAATAAGTTTAAGATTTATGTATGGAATTGACCAGTAGGAGTTTGAAAATGATGGTTTGGTTCTGAAGGGGGAGGTCTAGAATTTCAGATTTAGAAGTATCAGTTTATACATGATAGTAGAAACCATAGGAGTAGATAAAATGAGTCTGAAAGGGTGTATAGAATGAGAATATCAGGACCAAAGAAGGAACTTTGGGAAACAACAGCAATAAAGGGAAAGAGGTAGCTGGCCAACTAAGGTTAAGGATATGGGAGAGAAAGGGAATACTTGTAGAGCAAGGTCCCTGAGAAAACTGGAGTTTCAAGGGCCTGAGTGAATGAACTCACTTTAAACCTGAGAAGGAACATACTTTCCTCTGACAGAGGAAGGGAAAAAGAAAAAATGAACTTGAATGTGATAAATTTGAATGAGGGACATTGTGGAGAGATAGGAAGTTGTGGACAGTTTGGCCTGTGACCTCTATTCCTGGTAAGGTAGGAAACAAGCTTATTGCTAGGAGTAATTAGTGATGAAAGGAGTGATGGGTAGAAAGTTTGAGGGGAGCAGTGGATCACTTTGGAGAAGTGGAGGAGAAATTGACTTGGGACACTTAAGAGTCTTGGCAGGAAAAGTGGTTGAAATAATGATAGACGGTGAGATCTATGTATTTTACTAAAGAAGGAAATCCAACAAAACTTTGATTGGAAGAAGGTGGAAGGGTTAAGGTACTAGCAGCACCAAGTTAATCAAAGAGCAGTAGAGTTGAGTGGGAGAGCTAGAAGCATAGGGATTGAGACAGTAAGGGGATATTGGATTTCCGATTGCCAAATTAGGCTGCCCTAGAGGATGATGAAGTCCAGGGAATGGGTGGTAGAAGAGGATGGGAATGAAAATCATTTCAGTTGAGGTGGTCAGAATTAGGGTTTTGAATGGATTTTTTTCTCTCCTTTTTAATGAAGTGGAATCAGTAAGGTTGTAAGTAATAAAGTGCAAGTAGTCTTCCCATGCCATGTCCTTTGTCTCCTCTTGTGTAT